AGCAGTCTACCTGGCTCCGGGCTTCACTCACAACAAGGGTTATTTTGCCCAGCCGGGGGGGGGGGGGGGAACTTGCGGGTTTCTTCCAAGCACCCTCTGCCCGCAACTCGGCTGCGCTTTCTCTCTCTCTCTCTCTCTCTCTCTCCCCACCCCTCATGCGGAGCCTCCCGAGGCAGGAGCAGTCTATCTGGCGGGAAAGGGCAGGAAAGGGTTACCTTGCCCCCCGCCAGGTATGACTGTAATTGCATCCGTTCCGCTGCAAATCAAGCAATCAATCCTGGCTTAATTCATTCAATCCCGAGGGGATCCAAGACTTTCTGAGGCGGTGGGGGTGGGGGTGGAAATACACCCGAGGCATCATTGCAAACTTTTTAATTGCCTGCCGGCCCCGTGTTCACACGTGCTTTAAAATAAACTTTCGGGTCAGGCAGGGTCGTCTGAAAGGCCACTTGAACTTTTCCCGGGTGAGTTGAGAACCGAGGTTTGTCGCTTGCAAAAAGCAGGTAAACATCTCCCTCTCCGGAAAGGAAATGGCTTCCGGGGAGGAGTTGTGCAACGTGGAAACTAAAAAGAAAAAAAGAAAAAGAAACAGAAAGAAAGAAAGAAAGAAAGAAGAAGCAAAATGTCACCCTCAGCCCTAAAAGTGGATTATATAAGGCAGGGATGTCCGACCTAAACAACTTTTAAGACAGAATTCTGGGACTTGAAGTCCACAGGCCTTAAAATAGCCAAAGTTGGATACCCCTGATTTAAAGCATATTTATTAATTGTCCCATTCCAGGAACACCCTATCTGGAAGGGACTTTGGAGGTCTTCTAGTCCACCCCGCTCACCTCAAGCAGGTGGGTTTCCCAACTTTGGCAACTTGAAAAGACCAGGTGGATTTCAACTCCCAGAAACCTGCAGTTCACTCATCTTAAAACATGCTGGCTGGGGGATTCTGGGAGTTGAAGTCCATCCATCTTAAATCAAACTAGCTGGAAAATTCTGGGAGTTGAAGTCTGCCCATCTTAAATCATGCTGGCTGGGGGATTCTGGGAGTTGAAGTCCACCCATCTTAAATCAAACTAGCTGGGGAATTCTGGGAGTTGAAGTCTGCCCATCTTAAATCATG